AGTATCTCATTTTTGCCTATTGCAATTGATTGAATATAACTTTTTTTTCTAAAACAATTGTGGTGCTTAGTTCTTTGAATTATTATGGGATACTTGGAGAATGTTTCGGGGGTCAACACCCCCGCGGCCCGATCTATTACCAATCCTCGCGGCGGATAAGAACCTGATCAACCAGGCTGTTACTGCTGGCTGCACGTACACCGACGTACGAACCACAGCCCGGCTGGTCAGGCACTAATTTTAGGTGCCTGTCCAGTTCCCTCATGAAGACAGACAGGGGTCTAATAATCATTATATACTCTGGGAGGCAGTTGAGCAATCTTGGGCCCCTGACACTTATTGTGTTGTCTCTTAGCATAATCATGGCGCCCCTGCTTTTCACTTAGGGAATGTTGCACCTCCTGCCGAGTCTTTTCCTTTCGCAGGGAGTGACTTCCATGTGAAAATTTGGGACTAGTCCTTCTAGGATTTTCCAAGTGTATAAATCGATTCAATTAAAATTATTCTTATTCTTATTCGTGAAAAAACTGCTGAACCATAGAGAACAATATCAAGTTAAATTTTAATGTAAGAAGTATTCTTAGTGTATAATTAAACCGCAGATAATACTCGGCTCTTCTTCCATGGACTTTGAGTGGAAGCTTACTGTCTCCCAAACTCAATCCATATTCACATGAAAGTGACTCGGTTAATAAAACACAATTATTAACATAATCCAAGAGAAGCGCTAAGACACAAGTTACGGAACAAGCTTATATTGGGTGTTAGGAACCAAACTAAGTTACTTAAGGATTGAGAAACAGATGAATTTGATTTAGTTTAATTATGGTCATCATATCCATCCTGTGGGGAGGGGACAGACAGAATTTTACAAAGCACAGAAAAGGTTCAGAAGCTGCACCTGGAGCTGTTACCTAACCAAGTTATAGTAGTAATAATCTGTTTAAAATTGTAATGTGGTGGCTACATATTTCGTGAATTCATTCACAGGAAAATTACGATGAAGTATTATACATGTAATAGTAGTAGTAGTAATAGTAAAAATAGTAGTAGTAGCAGCAGTAGTAGTAGTAGTAGTAGTAACAGAACTACAGCCATTATAACAGGGAAGTACTAAACCTGTAGGGAAAAATAATAAGGTTTAATGACACAAGTGCAACTAATGTGACATTTTTATTGTGGCAACGTTTCGCTCTCCAGGAGCTTTATCAAGCAGTTATAAACAGTACATGGACACAGATGGTATATATATATATACCCTCTGTGTCCATGTACTGTTTGTAACGGCTTGATAAAGCTCCTGGAGAGCGAAACGTTGCCACAATAAAAATGTCACATTAGTTGCACTTGTGTCCTTTTACTTTACATATTGTCGGTAATTCTACCAACTTTATTACAAGGTTTAATGAGTTAAGGGAAGATAGCGTCAACGACTTGGAACAAAATCCCTTCAACACAGGGGTATCATCCTTTTTCCCACTGAAGGGTATCAGTATCAGTATGATATACACACATACTGATCCGAAGGACTTATCGACTTGCTCTGTTAGATTATACAAATTTCATAGCGAAAATATGGTAGTCAAAGCTTACCATACGGCAATATGTAAATTTGCAGCCAGAATTAATTGGCTTATTATGCAACATGGGCGATTGAATCACTTGCGTAAGGTTGCTCCTGCAATCTGTAATACGTCCATTGTTATGAAATCACAGGGCAAAGGATAGAGTAGTTTTATGAGATATTACATTTGAAAACATAATCTTTGTCAACATGTGGATGTAAATAGACATGAGTGTACAGGACAAACTGTACAACGTAGCTATGACTGCACACTTGTAAATGTATGATAACATGGATATAACTGGACGACGATGCACAATAGCATAAATTTTAATGTAATTTATGTATTTACAGTGTGATGCTTACACACTTTTGGCAAGATAGCTATTGACGGAATTATGATAATTATAATCACGGGGGAGCACTAAATCAGTAGGATTATACATCGCATGTGGGGGGGGGGGGTGGAAGGTATTCAGGCTTAATTCAGGGAAGTGGAGCACAGGTCCAATTCCCTAGATCAAGAGGCCCTCACCAACGTCAAGGAATCTCTTGAGGGGCTACTGACAGAATGATGGTTAATGCGTTTTTTTTTCTCTCTGACTTTCGCAGAGTTGTGGCATAATTTTTTGTTTCTGCTAATTCGGGAGAGGATGGCCTTGCTTTTTAGGCCAAACTACCCGATTCGGCTTAGTCCTACTTTAATCCTGCCCTACTGTATAATGATATACAATATATAAATAAATCTTTATACATAAAAAGAGCATTTTTTTTTTAAAGTCGGCCGTCTCCCACCGAGGCAGGGTGACCCAAAAAGAAAGAAAATCTCCAAAAAGAAAATACTTTCATCATCATTCAACACTTTCACCTCACTCACACATAATCACTGTTTTTGCAGAGGTGCTCAGAACACAACAGTTTAGAAGCATATAAGTATAAAGATACACAACATGTCCCTCTAAACTGTCAATATCCCGAACCCCTCCTTTAGAGTGCAGGCATTGTACTTCCCATTTCCAGTACTCAAGTCCGGCTATATAAAAATAACCGGTTTCCCTGAATCCCTTCACTAAATATTACCCTGCTTACACTCCAACAGATCGTCAGGTCCCAAATACCATTCGTCTCCATTCACTCCTATCAAACACGCTCATGCACGCCTGCTGGAAGTCCAAGCCCCTCGCCCACAAAACCTCCCTTACCTCTTCCTTCCAACCTTTTCGAGGGCGACCCCTACCTCGCCTTCCTTCCCCTACAGACTTAAACGCTCTCCATGTCATTCTACTTTGATCCATTCTCTCTAAATGACCAAACCACCTCAACAACCCCTCTTCTGCCCTCTGACTAATGCTTTTATTAACTTCACACCTTCTCCTAATTTCCACACTCCGAATTTTCTGCATAATATTTACACCACACATTGCCCTTAGACAGGACATCTCCACTGCCTCCAATCGTCTCCTCGCTGCTGCATTTACCACCCAAGCTTCACATCCATATAAGAGTGTTGGTACTACTATACTTTCATACATTCCCTTCTTTGCCTCCATAGATAATGTTTTTTGACTCCACATATACCTCAACGCACCACTCACCTTTTTTCCCTCATCAATTCTATGATTAACCTCATCCTTCATAAATCCATCCGCCGACACGTCAACTCCCAAGTATCTGAAAACATTCACTTCTTCCATACTCCTCCTCCCCAATTTGATATCCAATTTTTCTTTATCTAAGTCATTTGATACCCTCATCACCTTACTCTTTTCTATGTTCACTTTCAACTTTCTACCTTTACACACATTCTCAAATTCATCCACTAACTTTTGCAATTTTTCTTTAGAATCTCCCATAAGCACAGTATCATCAGCAAAAAGTATTATTATTATAATCAAAAAGAAGCTCTAAACTCAAAAGAGCCCGGTGGCCTGGTGGCTAAAGCTCCTGCTTCACACACGGAGGGCCCAGGTTCGATTCCCGGCGGGTGGAAACATTTCGACACGTTTCCTTACACCTGTTCACCTAGCAGCAAATAGGTACCTGGGTGTTAGTCGACTGGTGTGGGTTGCATCCTGGGGGACAAGATTAAGGACCCCAATGGAAATAAGTTAGACAGTCCTCGATGACGCACTGACTTTCTTGGGTTATCCTGGGTGGCTAACCCTCCGGGGTTAAAAATCCAAACGAAATCTTATCTTATCTTATCTTAATTATGAAAGTTGATTCTGTTATAAACATGATATTTTTTTCAAATTAGCATTATATGCATATTTATTCTTTACTGGGAAATGATAAGTAATCATGTGCGAAGTATAACAAAGGGAAGGGTAATTCCCTGGATCAAGAGACCTTCATCATCAAGTCTCCCCCTCCCGCTGACCTTCCCTTCCCCCTCCCCACAAGGAAGGTTCCTTGATGTTGGTGAGGGGCTCTTGATTTAGGGAATTGGATCTGTGCTCCAGTTCCCCGAATTAAGCCTGAATGCCTTCCACATCCCCCCAGGCGCTGTATAATCCTCCGGGTTTAGCGCTTCCCCCTTGATTATAATAATAAATCCCCCTCCCCTTCTTGAAGGGACTGTAACGTTAAAAAATTTTGCTCTAGGATATATAACATCGTTGAACGTGTTCTACTGTACGTTAAATAACATGACGTGTATGAACTGGTAGAAAATAGCGTGATAAATGTTAACTGATAGAGAGAATAACATAGAATGAACAGGGAGTAAAAAATATGCTAAATATAAACTAGGAAAGAAAATACCACGATGACTGAGAATGAGTGATAATGAAAAATAAACAGGAACATCTAGTTGCGTAGATTATATTATAAGGAAGGAAAAACAAAATGAAAGAAGAAAATCAGAAAAGGAGGAAGAAGCAGAAGAAAAGGAAGACGGCGATGGAAAGAAAACTGGAGGAAGAAGAAGCAGAAGAAAAGGAAGATAAAGAAAAAGAGGAAGCAGAAGAAAAGGAAGACGACGAAAATTAAGGAAAAAAGGGAGCAAGAAGAAGCAAAGAAATGGAAGAGGAAGAAGAAAAAGAAAAGAAAGACGACGATGAAGAAAACGAAGAAAAGGGAGGATAAAGCTGAAGACGACGAAGATGAAAAAGGAGGAAACAGAAGAAAAGAAGAGGCAGAAGACAGACGTAGGTGATATGATATGCTTACTGCATCACGAGATGAGAGTGATTACGCTTGCTGAAGGGCCATTATTGTGAGAGGGATTATGCTCACTGAGTTTCCGGTATTGTCAGTGATGCTGAGTGGCTGGTGATGTGTTGATGCTGCTCTTTAAGTAGCCGCTCATCAGTATTGCTCTCTGAGTGGCCAGTGTTGAGTGAAGCATGATACTCAATGACAGGCTCGTGTTAAATGTTAAAATGCTCTTATAACTGAGTAGAAAGTGTTGCATGAGTGATAATGCTCACTGAGTAGCCAGTGTTGAATGAGTCACGATACTCACTGAGTGGCTGATGTTGCGTGAGTCATGATGCTCAATGAGGGGCCAGTCACATGACTGCCGGTCTTGCACACTAGCACCCAATACAGCGCCCTCAGTGTCACACCATCTCTGCAAGTAGGAGTGTATCATCATGAAGCTCCTCATTCTTCTAGCCCTCGTGGCTTTAATTGCGGCTGAATTGCCCAGGTAAGTCATTATATATCTTGTGTAAAGATGTATTGTAATGTTTAACAGTAACCCAAATGTTATATTACTCTGAAATGTAATATATCGATGAAATGCATTTTCCTATTGACTATTCATTGCTATAAGCATTTTTGCACATTTCGCATTTTCTTTATATATATATATCGTAAATAAAATTAAGCAGTCTCAAATAATATATAATAAAGTATTAAATGCCGGGGGAGAGACTTAGGTCTCCTAGCAACTGCTGACTCTTGTTACCTAGCAGTGAATACATACATAGTACCTAGGAGACAGTTCCACTCAAGGGGTTCCTGATCCAGGGAATTTGGGCTTTTTCTTTACTTGAATCAGAACTGATTGTCTTCAATTTCCCCAGACACTGACCCTTACGGGTTTAACGTTTCAACATGAATTTATTAATAATAAAAGTAAAATAATAGTAATAAGGGTGGCATTCTTGGGAGGACCTAAAAAAAAGGGCCGCAGTGGAATTAAGCCACATTGGTTAGCTTTCTTGGGTTGTCCTGGGTTTTTAACCCTCCCAGTTTGCTAATGTGAATAAGGTCCTTTTTCTTACTAACAATAGGTTAAAGGTCATCCCGTGGCCTGCTAGCCGTTGCACTTCTATTGTCAACTTACTGGGAGGGGGTGTGGTCTCTTGATCCTAGGAAGTGGAAGTATCGTTCCCTTGGGTCAAACCTGATGACCTCGCATTCTCCAGGCACTGTCACCCTTATGGGTTGAATGCTTCCCCATGAATGTAATAATATTAATAATAATAATAATAATAATAATAATAATAACAATAATAATAATTGCACATCCTAGCTAATATGGATGGAAGAGACAAATGCGTATCCCGTAGAACATGTTTGTTAGATACGTTTTAGTCCTTTGACCTTACTTTCATGATCAAGGTCCCAAGACTGAAATTATATCCAGTAAAGATGCCCCATGTACATGCATTCAATCATTTTATTCACACATCTTACTAATCGATTTTTATATTGCATCACAGTTGCACATGCTGCACTCTACGTAATGTACATCACTATTAACATATTATAGTGCTTATAAGTATATAATTTGTTGATAATTTTTATCCTGTAATTCATATTGCTGATTATGAAAGTTTTAGGTGCACTAAAAGGTCATAAAGAGGCTAATCAAATATGTATACCTGTTATAAAACTTATCAGAATACATTTATCGGAATATGATTATCATACTTAGTTTAACATGTGTGTAAATTTCCTAGGATAACCCAAAAAGTAAGACAAGCAATTTCTTCAGTCCTTTGGCAACTCCTGGCAAAATGTTTTATTAGCAGATGTCTTGATCAGTGCATAAATGGCTTTTGCCTGCAACTTGGTATCTCCATACCAGTTTCACCAATCATGAGAGAACTATATGTGAAACTCAGAAAAAGGGTCAAACTGTAGATAGATTTAGGTTTCCCTAGTGTAGCAAGGTACTGATTTGAGTGCAGTATTAATATATTCATGCAAAAACACTAAAAGTACTATAATACTGTAAATTTGAAATAATTTAAAGTATTATAGTTGGCACTAATATAGTATATCTGTGCCCTGCTCCCATAACATTTACCATGGAATCGACTTCAAACATTTGGCATGGTTTGCCCATACAGTGCTGTAAAGTATGGTATTTGGTACATTATTTAATTTTTGTAAGAGATATTATAATATAAATGTTCTTATTTCAGGATTCATCTTCATAAATTTAAGTCTGTGCGTCGTACCTTACATGAAGTTAACACAGCTGTGGGTCAGACGCGTCGAAGATGGGGAAATAGTGGACCCATGCCAGAACCTTTGTCAAACTACATGGATGTAAGTTTATTAGGCAATGTAGGACTTCCATAACCTCGTAACTATTAGAACTCTTAATTTATTTGAAAATTTCTAACTAAAACTGTTGCATATAATTTTTAATTAATTTTGGCCTTTTTTTTCATTTAGGTTGATAGCAATCAACCAGGGAAATACTACATCCTGCCATAAGAGTGTGAAATGAAAGCCTGTTAAACATTTTGCACTCTGGCAGGATTGTTGGTTTTTTCTTTCTTTCTGTCTCATGAACATGTAAGATGACAGGTAAACCTTACAAAATTTTTTGTACTATATGTACTTATGTTCAGTCTACACATTGCTTTCCTGTACATTTGTTAACAATGTACTGTAGCTCCTACTCTTCATATAATTTTCTTGGAACACCTGCACCAGTTGCTGTACATATATCTATTTTACTCATTTGTGAAATTGATGTGAACTGGAGTGTGGATTTATTTCTATATTTTTACTTAATATGATTTTGATTTTTTAATTTGATTAATTTTAGCTTACCACTAAGTTAATTTAGAAACCAGTATAAAAAGTACGTGTATTAAGTTCTCCCCATATTTGTATACTGTACTGTGATTATCCAGTGCTTTTACTGAAGGGTTGTGTGAGTAGGTTAGTTGATTCATTGTATCCATTTTCATGAATCCAACCACTGGATTCATAAAAAATGTGTTCACTGTATTTTCAGTGCCTATATTTCTCCTCTTTCTGGAAATACATTCTTATGAGTGTTTGTATAATAAGGTAAAAGCATTATTTAAAATTTTACTTTTAAAAAATCAAATGAGTCTAAATCTGAAAAACAACTTGCCATATGGACACAGATGAGTGGCTTAGATTTGTAGGGATTGCTATCAATCTAACTACGTATTACAAATCTTGAGAGTTTGACTATACGTATTCATCTATGATTTTCTTGGGGGTATTATTTCATTTGAAAGTTTTACTAGTGCTAGGTCAATACCCCCTGTGGGCTTTGTACAAAATTATACTGATTTTAATTTTATACCGTTGGTATACAGTAGTTATGATTGCTTCTTCCTAATCCTTTGTCTTAACTTTTAATTATTCAGCAGCAGACTGAGAGGAATCGGCAGCAGTCTAAGAGGATTACCATCTTTGGTTCATTGTTATTATTTTGTATGAAGCTGAAAACCCATGTGGGTCATTCAGTGCAAGAAGTTATAGAGGCTTGATCCTTTTACCACTGATCACAAGACACTTGCTATCTAACCATGTATACCATTCTGCTTATCAACAATGAAGTCCTTTACCACAGATAACCATGTATAATTTTTTTGTGTGTATTTTTAGGCACAGTACTACGGTCCAATTTCCATTGGAACTCCACCACAGTCTTTCCGAGTTGTCTTTGACACAGGCTCTTCAAATTTGTGGGTACCTTCCAAGCAGTGTCACTTCACAAATATTGCATGCAGTAAGTAAAAGTTTTTTGAATGATAGTTCTTAAACTTTGTCCACAGGATCCAAGAATTCTCAAAAAACTTTGTTAATTTTTCTTATGAAATGGTAGAGAATCTTTTTCCGAAGGTGTAAAAGAAAAAGTATGAAATTTGATGGAAAATTTACGAAATTACACCATTGTGAATTTTGCTGTGTCAGCGATATTTACGTATTGGCGATTTTGCCCACCGAGTCATATTTTAGGCCAGTTACATTGTTCCAGTCAACCAAATTCTTAGCCACTTTGCTAGTATGCCTTCCATTTTATCAACTGAGCACAAGAAACTGCCCAATGGACTACTTCAACTACCCAATAAAGTGATCAGAAATTGGTAATTTGGCCAATTTCTCACAAATTTTAAAATATACCATTTTCAAAATAGGGTTCAGAATAAACAATTCAGGCATTTCTGGCACTAAAATAACATTTCTCTGTTCATTAGTGACATTCCTAGGCTTTGAACATGAATTTCATTATGAATTTTTATTCACACAAAAACATAAAAGTGGAAGGGAGATATTAATAAAGTACTGAGGGTGTCGAACCAGGTAGGAACCAGGGGTGATGGATGTAAGTTGGATAAATTTAGATTTGGAGGGGACATGGGTGAGTGCTGGTTTTCTGACAGAGTTGTAGATGCGTGGAACACACTTCCCAGTGGGGTGATAGAGGCTAGGACTTTGGGTAGCTTTAAGAAGAGACTGGACAAATATATGAGTGGGAGGGGCTGGGTTTGATTGGTGTCATGGGGTACGGGAGTTATTTCTTGGGTAGCTTTAGGTAGAGGTCGTTTTGATAAGGACCTGCCTCGTATGGGCCAGTAGGCCTTCTGCAGTGTTCCTACATTCTTATGTTTAAGATTTACTGCTATGCATTATTATAATAATTGTATAAATAATGTCAGTGCATTTATGAAAGCATATTAGACTGACTAGTGGATAAGTATTGGACAAATTGTGATTTGTTTACTCTGGTATATCGTCAAAAATCTTATATTTCTGCTACTTTGAGCTCGATTTCAAGCTATTTTCCGTCCTCAAACCATTCAAAATCATCTCTGTCTGTAATATATCTTCCATTTTATCAATTGAGACCAAGAAACCATGAATACAGTCATAAAAGCTATGCGAAAATACACCGCAGAGTCACCATTTTAACCCAAAAATAGTTTTTTCTTATGCACTGCGTGCTGCAGAATTTTTTTTGTGGTGCACACTTACCACATAGATCCCTTCTGTTATCTAGGCCCAAATTTACCACTCGGCTTATCTGAGCGAGCAGAGCTCAGTGTAGTTCTGCGGCACTGATCCAGAGTTCAAAACTGTACAACTATGGCACTGACCCTCAAGGGGTTAAGCTTGTAACAATTTGATATAATTATAATTGCTCAGCTACTGTACAATTTTTTTATTGAAAATATATTATGATCAAAACTAGGTGCTAACCCACAGGGGTCTTAAGAGAATAGTAAAATAGTGTTACTATAGTATTAATATAAAATGTCTTTTTTTTTTTTTTTTTAACCGAGTTCAGCATTTTCAAATGATACACTAAGAAAACTTTAACTATATTTAAACAAAAGATTTTGCTTGCATGTTATCCTTTTTTTTTTTTTTTTTTTTTTTTTTTGTGAGATGAGATTATCTTTTAAGGACTTGCCAAAAGATTCATTAATGTAGAGTCAATAATTTTTTTAACATTTATTTATTTCTACATTAAAAAAAAAATGTGTAATGCACATGCATTAATAAAATTCATAAACTACTGTATTTCCATTGAATACCTATAGGCAAGAGGGAGATTCACAAATAACCCGCACATAAAAGACAGAAGCTTACGACGACGTTTCGGTCCGACTTGGACCATTGACAAAGTCACACAGTGTGACTTTGTCAATGGTCCAAGTCGGACCGAAACGTCGTCGTAAGCTTCTGTCTTTTATGTGCGGGTTATTTGTGTATCGTTCCAGTCACGGTATTGTGCCTTTTTGTTATTTATTTAAGAGGGAGATTATTTCCCAGTAAAAGTAGGCCTTAGGGATGTGTGATGTCACCATGGTTGTTCGATATATTTATAGATGGAGTTGTAAGAAAAGTAAATGCTCGGGTGTTGGCAAGAGGTGTGGAGTTAAAAGATAAAGAATCTAACAAAGTGGGAGTTGTCACAGTTACTCTTTGCTGATGACACTGTGCTTTTGGAGGATTCTGAAGAGAAGTTGCAGAGGTTGGTTGATGAGTTTGGTAGGGTATGTAAAAGAAGGGAATTAACAGTGAATACAGTGAAACCTCAGTTTTTATATGCCCCAGTTTTCATAGGATTTGGTTTCCAACTACTTTTTTCATCAAAATTTTGTCCCAGTTTTTGTACATCCACTCAGTTTTCGTGAAGTTGAAAATGTTCCATACCAAATGCGTCTGCGTGACTCGGCCACTCAAGCGCCCACACAAAGCATCCCATGCGTTTGTGACTCAGTCTGCCTTTGTTTCTCATTGAGTAAGGGGAGAGCTAACCATTGGAAGTACTAACCACTGAAGAGCTACAAGTCCTTCAACTGGAACAGCAACAGACCACAGCAGAAGAAATTGCTTCAGAGGAGGAGGAAGAGGGGGGGAAAATGTGCCTTCAGTGATTAAGGACACGTGTGCACAGTGGAGCGAGTTGCAAAGTTTTGTGGAGTAGTATCACCCTAACAAAGCTGTTGCAAGCTGTGTCTGCAATGTGTTCAGTGACAATACATTTGTCCCATTTTAGGCAAATCTTAGACTCCAAAAACAGACCTCTCTGGACAGATTTTTTGTGCAACAGGGGTACAGTGATTCAAGCTGGTCCTAGTGCCAGTAAAAGACAAAGGGAAGTAACCCCAGAGAGGGCCTTGATACCTGAAGTCGTTATGGAAGGAGATTCCCCTTCCAAACAATAACTTCTCGTCCTCCCTCTCCCCTCCTCGCCATCTTCCGTGCGCCAACACGTGTTTTCAGTAAAGGTAAAAGTGATGTTAAATGTTCATTTATCCATTTCATTAGTTATATTTATTTCTCATTGTTTTCTGTATGTAAAACTATAGTTATTCTCTATAAAATGTATTTTTTGTTAATATTTTTTGGTGTCTGGAACGGATTAATTGAATTTACATTATTTCTTGTGGGAAATCTTGCTTCAGTTTTCGTACAATTCGGTTTTCGTCAGACTTTTTAGAATGGATTAATCACGAAAACCGAGGTTCCACTGTATAGGAAAGAGTAAGGTGATGAGGATAACAAAAAAATTAGGTAACGGAAGACTGGATATCAGATTGGAGGGAGAGAGTATGGAGGAGGTGAATGTATTCAGATTATTTGGGAGTGGATGTGTCAGCAGATGGGTGTATGAAAGATGAGGTAAACCATTGAATTGAAGAGGGGAAAAAGGCGAGTGGTGCACTGAGGAGTCTGTGGAGACAAAGAACTTTATCCATGAAAGCAAAGAGGGGAATGTATGAGAGAATAGTTATACCAATGCCCTTGTATATGTGTGAGGCATGGGTTGCAAATGTTGCAACAAGAAGGCTGGAGGTAGTGGAGATGTCAAGTCTGAGGGCAATGTGTGGCATGAATATAATGCAGAGACTGTAGTTTGGAGATTAGGATGAGGTGTGAGATTACCAAAACTATTATCCAGAGGGCTGAGGAGGGGTTATTGAGATAGTTTGGACATGTAGAGAGGATGGGACGAAATAGAATGACTTAGTGTATACATCTGTAGTGGAGGGACGGCGGGGTAGGGGTCGGCCTAGGAAAGGTTGGAGGGAGGGGGTAAAGGAGGTTTTGTGTGCGAGGGGCTTGGACTTCCAGTAAGCGTGCGTGAGCGTGTTAGGAGCAAATGGAAACAAATGGTTTTTAGGACCCGACGTGCTGTTGGAGTGTAAGCAAGGTAACATTTATGAAGGGATTCAGGGAAACCGGCAGGCCGGACTTGATTCCTGGAGATGGGAAGTACAGTTCCTGCACTCTGAAGGAGGGGTGTTAATATGGCAGTTTTATAATGTAGTGTAAGCATGACTCTGGCAAGACAATGATGGAGTGAACGATGAAAGCTCTTCCTTTTTGGGCCACCCTGCCTTGGTGGGAAATGGCCGATGTGTTAATAAAGAAAACCTGTAATATTTCCTACTGAACAATTTTGTCACAATTTTTGCCTGTCATTTTTGTGGCCATTTTTTTTTTTTAATTTATATTAATTCTGTTCAGTCATACACTGCCTCCATAACTCACCTTGTTATGACATGGCAAATTCATCCCAGACATCTTTTGTTTATTCTTCACTTTTCCTCATATAATTTTGACTAATCTTTAGTGTTCATCTATATGTACCTAGATATTGTTTTAACTACAGATCATTCATATCTTATAAATTATTTATATCTGCCTAAAATAATGTTCTTATCAACCTATAATTATTATAATCAAGGGGGAAGCGATAAGTCTGTAGGATTATACAGCTGTCAACCTATAAATTATTCATTTTGGCCTAAAAAAATTTCATCTTGGCTTTTAAATAGTTCATCCTGACCAATTTTTGTTATAGTATATACTTAGTAGAGGAAAATTAGTCATAAAACAGTTATAACTGGGAACAATGCTCCTTTATTCCAACTCCTAGCATGCTTGACATTTAATTTACAACAATCATTAGAGCACTTCTCACTCTTGTTTCATTCTACTTAAATTTAACCTTAGCTTTTCCCTAATTAATGGTAATTGTGCATGTAAAATTTTTGAACCGTGCTATATTTTACAAAGATTGTGTAATTATAACATGCCTTCAAGTTGGGATGTTGATGATATAAAATGTGTTTGTGTACTGCATGTGAATTCTTGTAAATTTATTTATGCTTGAGAAACTTTGCGTTGTTTGAAGTAGTATGGAATGTTTTTGATTTACTTTAACATTGGCTAATGGGTTGCATAACTGCCTACATAGTACATTAGAAGCACCATGTGGTGTGTAAATTTGTAACCAACAGCAACTTGTTTGGTTTCATGCTAAGAAGGCATTCCTCAAGTATTGATTCTTTTAGCTGTTAACCTTGAGTGACTCAGGGAAGGGTCTTTTTATTTTTTTTGTGGAAGGCTGTTAATCCAGAAATAGGTTCTTCTTCCCATCCTCAGTTCAGACTAGATTATTATACTTTCCCAGGTACTATATGACCCTTGTCAGTTTAGCAGTTTTTCATAAATATGTATAACAATCACCATGAGAAAAGCTGAATTTACTTACCAGTATTCATTGTTTTAGCTAGCTTATGATTATTGCTTTAAGTGCAATGATAAATTTTAATCACCATATATGGTATAGGGTGTCCACAAAAACAGTCCCTGATTTCAAACAGATATAACATGTAACTTTATTGTAATGATCTTTCACAGTTAGTAGCTTCAGATGCAGGACTTCATTCAGTTTCATGTTGTATAGGGTAATAAAGGCACTCAATGTGCGCCCCCCTGGTTGCTTGGCAAACATAGATGCAATAGTCCAGTTCGGGCCAGATGCTCTGCAGCATATCTGGAGTTATTATGGGAACTGCTTCAGTGATCAAAATTTTCAGCTCCTGCAGGGTTGCAGGTAGTGGTGGTATGTAAACTGTGCTCTTTACATACCCCCAAAGAAAAGAAGTCACAAACAGTTAGGTCCAGTGACCTCTGCAAGTGGCCTGCGAGGTCACCGAACCTGTTTGTGACTTCTGAAAATTTCGATCACTGAAGCAGTTCACATGATAACTCCAGATATGCTGCAGAGCATCTAGCCCGAACTGGACTCTCGTATCGATGTTTGCCGAGCAACCAAAGGGGCACACATTGAGTGCCTTCAATGCTACCCTATACCACATGAAACTGAATGAAAACCTGCATCTGAAGCTACTAACTGTTAAAGATTATTACAATAAAGTTACATGTTATACCTGTTTGAAATCAGGGAGTGTTTTTGTGGACACCCTGTATTATAGTACAGTATACAATGCCTGCCTTTCATACATAGGTGCAGTCGAGCCTATTTGTTTTTCACTCAAAACAATTGTTAAATTCTAGTTAAATTACCAAACCATTTGTTGATTTTAACAAATAAAGGTATGTAATACATGTGGTTAATAAGAGATTTATCTTGAGCTGTTAAAAAAAGAATGGGTAGCAGGAGGGAAATAAAAGGAACAACAAAAATTATATGAATATTGTAATCTGAAAGAAAGAAAATATAGAAATGAAAGATTTATTTTATAGTATAATTCTATTATTTGCAGCAATAGAGTATGTGCGAAATAAATTGTTAAAATACTACAAAAGGCTTGCCCCAGACCCCTAGCATAATGGCTTATACCAGTGACACTGAATTTACACTGCTGTAGGAATTTCAACCTTAATTAAAACCAGTGGTTAAGAAATTGCCAGCACACCCCTCCATATATTTATTAAAACTGTGAGTAAAGTTTCTTGGTTGTATTTTTGACTACTGAACTATTTTTTTTATTTCAGTGATTCACAACAAATATGATTCACGGAAGTCTTCAACATACAAGAAAAATGGAACTGAATTTGCCATCCAATATGGATCAGGTTCTCTCTCTGGCTATTTGTCTACTGATACTGTTAAGGTAAGTGGTTGTTAGATTTGAGTTTGTGTGTGTGTGTATTTGAATGCTTTGTGCTCATGCTTGACAGTACAGACACATGCATTGCATGTGTTGAAGTATTTAAGTTTTTGTCTGGTAAATTTTCTTAAATTCTCTCATATGTATATAGTATCACGACTTGAAAAAAAGTAGGCAAGGTTTTGTAGCTTATTCTTTTCACTAGGGAAAGTAGATATACTTGAGAAATAATTATTGGTAATTGTAATAACTATATATGAAATTTTTAAATTTTATGTAATTACTAATTTTTAACCCTTGTTGATAAAAAATAGTAATATGGCAATATAGCTGCATGTGTGTGGGAATAATTGGACCTGCCTAATGCGGGTTTGTAGTCTTAAAGCGGTACACCACTATTCTTATGAAGGAAAGCAATTGTTTTGACAATTTGATGGTGGATCTGCATATTTTTTTATCTTTGTAGATTGGTTCATTAACTGTGGCACAACAAACATTTGCTGAAGCTTTGAGTGAACCTGGTTTGGCTTTTGTCGCTGCTAAATTTGATGGAATTCTTGGAATGGCATATGATAATATTGCTGTGGATGGTGTTATGCCAGTTTTTTACAACATGGTCAAACAGAATTTGGTTCCCTCTCCAGTTTTCAGCTTTTATCTCAACAGGTAAAGAATGAAAATTTTAAGTTTAATATTTTTTCTTTAGAGAACTGTGTGTTCTATATTAAACTGCAGACTTGTATGATAACCCTTCTATTCAAAATCAGTGTTCATTCACAAATAATACATATTCCTTCCTTTGTGTTTGTTTCATAAAAAACAGAACTGTTAAGTCATCCATTTGTAAAGAATTACTTGGATGACTTAAATCCTTGTCAAGAGGGTTGGATGTTAGCACTTAAAGCAGGCAGCATTAGTAGTAGGTAGAAGGCAGAGTTTGCATTTGTGGCATTTAATATGCAAACTTATGCAGTGAATCTATTTTATGTGACATGGTCAGTAACTCAAAATGGAGATTCCAGCAAGTTCCTTACCATTGCACTTTACTAGCAAACAAATTTTGGTGCCCAGTTACTGGATCCATTATGTGCCCCTGTAATATTTTCACCACTGCCCACAAAAGGGGTATGGGGGTGCAGAATAAATCTATTAAATTAACCAACTAAATAGTAAGTGTTTTATTAAAGCCAAGTTTTGTTTTGCTTGTTGATGAACCATGCCATTTCTTTGTTTATTATTTTTCATGTTATAAAATTAGTTTTCTAATAGACAAAATTGATTAAGACTTCACTTTCATCTTTAATTGACAAAAAAGATTAAATTTTATAAATCATTGAATTTGTAAGATATACATCTTTTGCAATGGGTGTGTGATCTTCTAATGCTTAATATTTCTTTACCATGTTCAGACTGATAGTCACATGTCAGGTTTAAATTACTAAAACTGGTGGCATTTATCTAATAAGCTCATTAGATAAAATTTTTTTTTAACCATGTCATAGTTTATAATAGAGGAAAACATTTACCTAAAATTCAAAGAATTGACATCAATAAGAATTCAGTGTTGGCACTACATGTTGTTGTATTGTGCTCTGGAACACTGATTACTATCTTTTAATTTAAACATGTTAAGCTTTCACCATACAGATAATGTTGTGATCTGCAAATTTAGTGTGCAGTTGAGATACTAAAAATGAGACATTCAAAATTATTGTATAGAAGGCAAGTTCCTTGTAAATTAACTTATTTATTAAAGGGACCCAGCTGCCCCTGAAGGAGGTGAGCTCATCCTTGGAGGTTCCGACCCAAAATACTACTCGGGAAACTTCACTTATTTACCTGTGGATCGGAAAGGCTACTGGCAGTTTAAGATGGATGGGTAAGTATAATTTTCTTTTTTTAATTCTTGTAATGGCTTTCTTAAAAATCACATTTTTTTTTTTAACACTGGCCATCTCCCACCAAGGTAGGGTGATCAGGCAAAGAAAACACTTGCATTGTTACTCATTGTGTCACTGTCTTGCCAGAACTATGCTGACATTACATTTCAACTAACTATCCAATCTGTAACATCCCCATCCTTCCTTCAGAGTGCAAGAACTACTTTCCACCTCCAGGACTCGTTAACCAATTCCCCTGAATCCCTTCATAAACGTTATCTTGCTCACACTCCAACAGCATGCTGAATCATTAAAACCACAAGCTTCTACTCTTATCAACCATGCTCAAACAAACCTGTTGGATGTCCAAGCCCATAGCACTCAAATCCTTTTTCACCCCCTCAGTTGCCTGTATGGATATTTACCTTTACATCAATAATGCTGACTTGCATCAGTTAACATGCTGTTTTGATAACATATCTCAGTAAATAAAATCAGTAGACAAAGACCAAAATTTTAAAGTTTGAAAGTGTCATAATATTGTTAAATCAAAAGCTTTTTTTTAAACAATTATAGTATAGGCTAAATGTGCACGTAGCTCTTTATTATTCATGTCATGGAAGTGCTTTATTATTCATGTCATGGAAGCTCTTTAGTTATGTCATGGAAGAAGTTTTGTAAAGTATTGAAAATAGATTCCAACCTTCCATAAGTGCTTTAGCAGTCACTGAAGGGCATGGTACTGTGGAGGCTATAAGTGTAGCTTGGTCAGTCAAGTAACTGGTGGATGACAACAAACAGCCTCAGCTTTGGCTAGGCAGATCTTAATTAAGGAAATCCTGTACACAACAGAGTACTATATCTGTTTTGAATGTGAAGGACTTTTAGACCCCAAAATGGTTGTGTTGGCTGAATATGGTTAAGCATTTAAATACCAGCTAAGAACCCATGTGAACTGGTGCAATGATACTGTATTCAAAATACTTTTAATAACAGTTTTGCTCATATAAATACTCTTACATCTTTGACACCAGCCAACCTATTTGTTAAACTGATAAATTTTTTCAGGTACACACTTATCTTTAAATTCATTTGAACAGACTTCAGAATATGTGCCCTTTTGTTTGCTGGCTGTAAATTTCATAGAACAAAATTTAATGTGGTCTAATTCATCAGGATGCAAATGAATGGAGTTACTGTGCCATTTTGCCAAGGTGGGTGTGAGGCCATTGCTGACACAGGAACCTCTCTCATTGCTGCTCCACTTGAAGAAGCTCGGACTATCAATAAAAAGGTACTTTAATTTTTCATTCTTAGATTTAATTCACTTAAAGATTTAGCCTAATTGAAATTCACATTGTACATGCATAATTTCCAATAGATATCTATCAGCGGGCTGAAGAGGGGTTGTTGAGGTGGTTTGGTCATTTAGAGAGTGGATCAAGGTAGAATGATATGGAGAACGTATAAATCTGTAGGGGAAGGAAGGCGGGGTAGGGGTTGTCCTCGAAAAGATTGGAGGGAGGGGGTAAAGGAGGTTTTGTGGGCGAGGGGCTTGGACTTCCAGCAAGCGTGCGTGAGCATGTTAGGAGTGAATGGAGACAAATGGTATTTGGTACCTGACAAGCCGTTGGAGTGTGAGCAGGGTAATATTTAGTGAAGGGATTCAGGGAAACCGGTTATTTTATATAGTCGGACTTGAGTCCTGGAAATGGGAAGTACAATGCCTGCACTTTAAAGGAGGGGTTTGGGATATTGGCAGTTTGGAGGGATATGTTGTGTATCTTTATACGTATATACTTCTAAACTGTTGTATTCTGAGCACCTCTGCAAAAACAGTGATAATGTGCGAGTGTGGTGAAAGTGTCGAATGATGATGAAAGTATTTTCTTTTTGGGGATTTTCTTTCTTTTTTGGGTCACCCTGCCTCGGTGGGAGACGGCCGACTTGTTAAAAAAAAAAAAAAACTTCTAAACTGTTGTATTCTGAGCACCTCTGCAAAAACAGTGATAATGTGTGAGTGTGGTGAAAGTGTCGAATGATGATGAAAGTATTTTCTTTTTGAGGATTTTCTTTCTTTTTGGGTCACCCTTCCTCGGTGGGAGATGGCCGATTTGTTAAAAAAAAAAAAAATCTACCTCTGATTTTCATTTTATCAAATTTCCAGAATACATAGAATATTTAAATGCTCTAAATGACTGTTTTCCAGAAGTAGATGGAAGAACAAAAATTTCATTAAAAGATAATGATGATGCCATGAATGATTAGTACATCTTGTTTGCCAGTAGCAATAAGATTTTCAAATCTACTTTTTTTCAGCTTGGTGCAAAGCCTGTTATGGGTGGACAGTGGGCAGTGGACTGCAATTTGATTCCTAACTTGCCCAAGATTTCATTTGTTCTTGAAGGCAAACCTTTCACATTGGAGGGCAAAGATTACATTCTACGGGTAGGTGTTAGATAGTAGTTTTGATATTTATAAATAGTTTTTTAAAATTCCTACTTGGTCTTTATATACAAAATTTGTTTTTTATTTTAATAGTGCATTAATAATTTGAATAAAACTTCCTAGCCAGCTTTATTTGGTAATTTTTTATATTCATTAATTTCTTTATCTTTGCAGGTGAGCCAATTTGGACAGGTGACATGTTTGTCTGGTTTTCTTGGCCTTGATGTACCTCCTCCCATGGGCCCAATCTGGATCCTTGGAGATATATTCATTGGTCGCTTCTACACAGAATTTGACCTTGGAAACAACAGAGTTGGTTTCGCTACAGCAAAATAGACATTAATTAGGGATAAATGATAATGAAGTGTTAAGTTTCATTAAAGAGGGCATTACCTAATGATATTTAAATGCTTGCATTATTGCATGATTATTGCATGTAAATTTAATGATATGAGTAATAAGTAGAGTTGAGTATTAATATTTTGTCCACATGGACTATGCAGGTTCCAAAGGAAATGGTTATGAAAGAAAATGGGAAGAGATTGATGATATTTGAAGACTGTGTGTATAATGAAGAAACAGTTCGCGAGGCAGAAATGCCTTGAGTAAACTATGTACAGTATGTAATAGGCTTGTCGGTTACCAATACCATGATCTTGATGAAAAATGTAGTACCTGTAGCAGTTTGGAATGTGTTAAGGAACCATAGGTTCAGACATAGTGAGATTTAGTCTATATCATAGTAAGATATGATGGGCTTCACAGAAATGTTCATATTTTACATGTTACATTTGAAATAAAATGGCAGATTTTAGCAATTTCTTGTTATTGCTCTCTTTGAGCTAGCAGCTTTATTTAAGAAATACTGTATGTACAGTATGTATAAGAAATAAATATTTTATGTAACTTAATCTGCACTTCGGTGAAAGTGTTGATATAACTGAAGATAATAATGTGTAATGAAACCTTGCAATACTATATTACTGTATAACCTTTTTGAAAATTTGTTTATTTAATTTTTAAATACAGAGGAAAACTAATAACAATGTAATTTTCATTTAGTGCATTTACTTGTGTATTTATAGTGCATTTACAGTGACTTCAATTTTAAATTAATAAATATTAGCTAATGCATATAGCTAAGAAATTATTAAAACTAATTTGTTATTGAACGTAAATACGATTACAAGTTTATTCCATTTGTCTCGTTTTGTGGATTTCTTTGTATTTGTGTTAGTTATTATAATAATATACAGTACAGTATAATAATGTTTAAAGTTTTTGTAAGTGTAACTTGTCATATTATAATATCATTTGCCTATCAGCTGCTGTTTCGAGCAGCTTTGGGGTGAACAGGAAACCAAAGACATATGCAGTCTCATATTTTGTCTGAAGAGTTTTCCAGATGAATTTTTAATTTTGTTTTAGCTTTGACCTAGGAAGGTAGACTGTTTCTGTAAGTGTACCAATCTGGGATAAGAAAAATTCGTTGCCTGTCCTATTCTGCAGCTTTGTGAACTTGATTTTTGCCCCATGTACATGTCAAGTTGACCTGTAATAGTTGGGGTTTATACATCATGCATCTTGTTCATAATGTTATATAAACCAAAATGTTCTTGCATCTTACATACATAGTAATAATAATGTATTAATATATTTTTAAGACCTTTTATTTACCTGGCATTGCAACAAAAAACATGTATTACTAAGAATACTAAACAAGGTGTCATATCATGAAAAGACTTTAATTTAAGTAATTCGAGTTTCCCTTCCCTTCCTTGGATCAAACCTGAATCTTCTATTCCCCAGGAACTGACCTCTACAGCTGTATGACCCCTATGGGTTTAGCACTCAGTTTTGATTGTAATAATAATAGTAATAATTATCCCCTATAGATTGTTTCACCATGAATTTAATAATAAGAGCAGTAAATCAGAAAAATATCCTCAAAAATTATGTATGAAATGTCCTTGATGGAATGCAGTGAAGTGCACAATCATCTCTTGACTTTTCAATGCCATATCCTCAAGGCAGGTTCTTTGTCACTGGTGAGGGGCTCTTCATCAAAAGAATCATATGGATCAAACTTTAATACCTCTCAATCCCCCTGGTGCTGTATGACCTCTTAGGGATCAGTGCTACCCCATAATAATTCAGAGGGATTAAAGTAACTGGGCAGCATTTTTGTCCACTACAGTATATCAGGAAATTATTTTCTTAAATGATTTTCTTTTCACAACTATCCATACAGCACTGTATGATCCTATTGGGTTTAGCACTTAATATGATTATATTATTATTGCTACAACTGCCCAATGGCATGCTGATTACCTGCTGTTCAGGATTATCAAGTGAACACCTTTTATGAAGGAATGCTTTGATGTTGAAGTTCTCTTCACCATACTGCTTTTATGTCTTTCCATCTTGTTGGTATTTTATACTATTTCTCCCCATTCAGAGAGGATCAGCAGAGGGGGACCAAATCAGCTCTTGTTGAATATTAAAATGGTATATAACTGTTGCACTGTCTTACTTGCCAGTTCTAGTTCCTCAGACCAAGAACCCTTCACCAATGACATGGGTCATTAATTGAAAGGAGCAGAGTATCACTCCACCACCAATTAGTTGTAAACCTGCAGAGTCTACCCACTTAAAATAGAAATACAGTGGTACCTGTTTCGAACAGCTCCCAACTCGAACAATTATGTAAGTGTATTTTTGTATGTGCTTTTGTAAGTGTATTTTTGGGGGTCTGAAACGGACTAATCTAATTGACATTATTTCTTGTGGGAACAAATTCATTCGGTATCAGCACTCGAACAGCCTTCTGGAATGAATTAAGCTCGTAACTCGAGGTACCACTGTATGTACCTCTTGGTGCCTCATCAGGAATACGGAAGGTACAAACGCAGGAATGAAGGAACACTACGGGTTCAGCTCACACCCACACGTGTGTATTTTCTGGTAAGAGTATATATTGTGTTGGGCGAGTGTTGTGCTAGGATTGCACTAGTGCCATTCCATATGTGTTTAGGTTGTCTAGTAATAATAGTGCCAATTACTTGCTTATAAACTAGGAAAATATAAACGTAGTCACATATGTTCCCTTGTAATGCTGAGGGACTGACAACCTCAAATCTACGACTTCAAGGGTGATGGACTGATTACATCGTCTTCACATCTCTACTGCTCCTGCTTACTTTCTGTACTCGACTAAAGAAGCCTACTGTGTAGGCGAAACGTTTCGGAATAAAGTTGCCTAAATGTTGCCTATGTGTCTTACCTACCAACCTGTCGGTATTGTGTACCATTTTGATATTCACCTACTAAGAATATGGGTATTGTAACTTATAGTACAACAGTATAAAATAGTATGGTACTGTATTGCAACTCCTTTAGTGTTCAACATAATTTGCAGTAATTTTACTTTCTTTTTCGTAGTGGAGGGATGAGGTACAAACTGCTGTGATCGATGGAGGTGATTAAGAATAGCCTTTTTTTTTTTCTGAGTCAGAGAAGCTGTAAAGCTATACAAGTGAAAATAATGTAGATGGCTGAGAAGAATGTAGAGGGTTGGGATATAGATGGCTGAGAACCACACTTTTTCTCGTCACCACCACTTTAGAAGCCATTGTTACTTGCACTTTACTTAATATGTTAATAAAGTCACACAAAATGCTCTAACTCCAGGGAAAATTAAAGACTGAATGATAAGTGTATGTATGAGTGAGCACAAACAATAGACTGGTGCTGGTGACCTACGGTTAAGGGAAGAATGACAGCAGACAGGTCCTGAAGTGGCCACTTTGGTTCATACTGGTCAAACATCAGTTACATTATAATTATTATAATTATGGGGGAGCGCTAAACCCGTAGAATTATACAGCTCATGTGGGGGGGATGGAAGGTATTTAAAATTAATTCAGGGAAGTGGAGCACAGATCCAAATCCCTAGATCAAGAGCCCCTCACCAGCGTCAAGAAACCTCCTTTGAGGGGCATTACAGTTACAGGACTTGGACCGATACCTCAGAAGACAACTGGCCACTATCGTCACAGACAAAATGCGATATTACGGACTTTTGTCCATTTTGTCCGATATTTAGAGCATTTGTTCGGCTAGTTATACTGTCAGATATTGCTGAAATCCTTTAATGGGAGGTTTTGCTGTATTTATATTCCCTTTATTTAATCCTGGTTTTGATATGTGCACTTCAGTCATATCTCCCCTAATTCTAGAGTGCAATTTTAGTACCTTCAGCCTATTTTCATAAGAAAGGTTTCTAATACATGGAATCAACTTCTCCCTTCTCTACATATTTTCCAGTGCATTTATGTCCACTCTGTAATATAGAGACCAGAAATTATGACGGAGAATCACTGGCAGGTGAGTCTGTGGAGTACTAAAATCCATCCAACATATTTTTAACCAACACAAACCTCCATGGGTGGCTCTAGCAATTCACGTTAGTCTCCTTTCCTTTCTGTGCCTGAAGGCCCCTCAAGGAAGGTTCCTTGACGCTGGTGAAGGGCTCTTGATCTAGGGAATTGAATCTGTGCTCCAGTTCCTTAAATTAAGCCTGAGTACCTTCCATTCCCATCCCCCCCGCAGGCGCTGTTTAATCCTACGGGTTTAGCGCTTCCCCATAATAATAATAATAATAATAATAATAATAATAATGCGCCTGAAGGCAAACATATTTGCTCAGATGAATAAGACAAATGTCTAACACTTAGCTATATTTATTGACAAGGCATTTCGTCAACCAGTGGCTTCATCAATCCTAATAGAGAATAAACAGTGGAAGATGTGAGGATGTAATTTAAGCTGGTCAGCCCCTCGGACTTGACAAGTGTTAGCCCTTCACTCTTCATATCAATATTTTCCTCAAAAAATTGGTATATGACTTCGCAATTAATTTAGTTACTCATTACTCATAAAGGAAATAAAGTTTCCTCCGGAAAAAGAAACGGGAACAACAGTCTCCCAAATATGTAAGGTAGACCCCCTTAGCCTAAACCCCAACCAATAATATTATTATTTTCATTTAAGGGTCTGACAGCACTGTGCGTAAACAATTATGACCAATGTTTTTTAGTGTTAATAATATATCAATATTTTTGAGATAATATATGGTAGTGGTGAGGCAGACCCCAGGTCAGGTGCCTCACTCCCTGACCTAGTAAGTCTACTTCTTTACAAAGGTTGGCGCTGAAGTTCCTCAGTAAACGTGACCCACCTCCTGGGCCAGAAGTAAACGTAAAGGTAAAAGAAAAAATATACAGAATTCCTGGGGTAATAATCGTGCATCTTGAGGCACTAACGCTGGAGAACAGGTGGTGCTGCAATGTTCTCATACTGGTGTTAAAAGAGCGGGAATCAGGGAGAGAAAAACATGGCAGGTGGTGGATGTGTTAGTGAGTTTCTTCTGCCTGTCCACCACAATTTTCGGCTCTTAGGCGACCCACAGACGGATGACATGGACTCTTGAGATGATGGACACTACTTCCCACAATCACTCACCTTCAGACAGTAATGAGGGCTTCCTGGATAGCTTTCAACACTAAGAAAAACAGGTAGATGGCACAAACTCGTCTCAACACCAACCCGCCAACTGAGGTAGGTCCGTATTTATTTATTTGAAAACTTTTTCAACAAATTTGAAAAGAATCCCCCCAAAATATACATTTTTGGTGACAGACTGGCTTTACGTTCCCTGTGCTTTGCAAGCCCAAAGGTTTACAACGTTAATGTACACAATATAGCCCATCAAACAAAGAACTAACTGTTGACTGATAATGACGATTTTTCACATTATTATTATTATTATAATCAAGGGGAAGCGCTAAACCCGTAGGATTATATAGCGCCTGGGGGGGATGTGGAAGGCATTCAGCTGAGCTTAATTCGGGGAACTGGAGCACAGATCCAATTCATTAAATCAAGAGCCCCTCACCAACATCAAGGAACCTTCCCTGAGGGGACGATTTTTCACAAACTCTGACTGCCATTAGTGAAATTCAGAGGCACCATGTTACCAGCACCCACCACTGAGGGGTAGTTTACACCTTGCTATAACAAGACATTTACACAACCAGATGAGGATGACATTACATCATAATTAAGCTGGGACTGTCATACACAGGGTGAGAAAATTCATGTCGAGATATAGGGAACTATATGATGCAAGAACATCTCGTCACTTTTCTGGACACGGTCCTACATTAGGTATTTATTCAAGACATTGACTGCAGAGTGAAAAGAAAGCACACACATCTTAATGTGCTAATGCAAAATGTATTCAAACTAGCGCCTGTGATGTGGCAAATTCTCGTGGCACATTCATTGTACACTGGATTATTAGGAAACCATTCTTAAATAATAAAATTGTGCTGGTGGGCATGAGGTGAATGACAAATCATGCCCAACATGTTTAACAGACTTAAAATGACAGGAACGACAATGACGCCTTAACACTGAATACCTCTATCATTTTCACCGCTTGCATTCCACACTAACTTAATTCTTACCCACACCTAATGTATCCTCATATAACCGCATCATCCACAAACAGTTAATCCTCACAGGCCCTTCAAAGCTCCACCTCAACAAGGATTTTGCATCTGCACTAGCTCGTGCAAGCAGCAGATCCCGGGGCAACTTGCTGCTGTTTGCAATGGCTGTCTACCGAGGAGAGACAGGCACCTAGCAACATCTGTTGTTGGGGCAATGGATGAATTCCCTGCTATGTTTGTTAACTGCTCATTACTCTGTAATTTGTCTATGATTGTAATCATGTGATAACGTGTTTATCATTCATTACCTTTGAAACTTGTCATGATTTTGACCAGCTCTACCTGGAGCTCATTACCTTTGTAAATTCTCATGATTAATGTGTTTATGACTCATTACCTTTGCAATTATTCATGAGTGTGACCAGCTCTACCTGGAGTTCATTACCTTTGTAACTTGCTCAGCTATCAAAACTTTGGAGTCCAGTCCCTGGACCAATTATGTACCTCTGTAATCTTTTGACTACCGCCCACAGGATGGGTATGGGGTGCATAATAAACATATTAAACTAACTAACTAGCAATCGAGATAGAATAAGTACTCGAGAAAATCTTAAGAGGCTGTATTACTCGGCATCTTCAGCTCATATTGAAAAATGTCCTTGATTGATTTTTTGAAGGATTCAGTATGGTTTAAAGCAGTTTCTCACATCTCTAAATTTTTTTGTTAAAATGTGCATAGAATTACTTGTAAAAAAGCTATGGTTTACCACTTGAAATAAAATAATGTGATTTTTTCCGTAAAATACAATTGCACAACAATTTCGACTAAAAGTGTGATAATATATATATTTTAACAAAAAAATGAAGCAGAAAATGCTTCAAACCGTTCTGCATCGTCGAAATATGCAGTAAACTAACATTTTAGCACATTTCTTATTTTTTTTTAACATTTAGCTGATTTAAAAAAATAATCATATGGAGTGTGCAATAAAATATGAGATTTGGTATTTTGAATGTAAAATAATGGATTTTTAGTCATCTCCCCTGCATTCCAATGCACAAACAACTCAAAAGATAGGCCACAATCCTTTAAGGGAACTGCTCACACAACCCGCAGTCGTGGTGGAAAATCAAATGCCATCAGCACACCCCGTGCTATAAACCCAGTCCCCTCAAGGAAGGCTCCTTGACGCTGGTGAGGGGCTCTTGATCTAGGGAATTGGATCTGTGCTCCAGTTCCCTGAATTATGCCTGAATGCCTTCCATCCCCCCATAGGCGCTGTATAATCCTACGGGTTTAGTGCTTCCCCTTGATTATAATAATAATATAAACCCAGTCACCACACAAGGTACATTATACGAACATAAGGCAATCGCCATCAAACCTCAAAAAACTGTTCAAAACACTGCCATGCGAATCATTTGTGGGGCCTTATGTTTCACATCTGAAATAGGTGTTCAAGGAGAAACTGCGCTCGTAAGCCTAACCACCAGAGACGTATGTGCGAACTATCTCCCACTGTGCTTCTGCACATCATACCGACCTATAACTAATCCTGTTACCACTTTACAAATGAAGCCATTGGATCTACCTCCCACCCACAACGCTTTATTTGAAGAGCTCTACATAATATCTCCTCCCACATGAACTTTTTACAAAACTGCGAAAACCAAACAACTGTTTTGCTTAGTCACTCATAGAACTAGGTTACCAGACTAGGATACTCCCGAACATGAAGCAAGAGTTTCTGCGTTTACATCTACTACAATGCACTGTCTTCTCCCTAATACAAAAAAATATATAGATCGATCACGAATCCTCAACAGAATTACACCCTCCGTGATATCTGCACTCTAAGATTCCTCGCCTCCAACTAAAACGTCTTCAAAGCTAAACTGTATGGGATTTATCATTTATGTTTTTGATCTGATATATTAATTATTTTTATTTTTATTATCGTCATTAAAGGCAGAGGATAAGTTGGTGTGTTTGTATGCTTATGTAAATAATTATATTTATGTATGGGGCCTAAATAAAAGTTTTTTCCTTCCTACTTCCTTATTTTTTTTAGTTACGTGTGATTTTGTGGATTTTTTTTCACTATTTTCTCATAACACTAATGAAGCATCATAAGGAATTACGATAGCATTTTGTCAACCTTTTCCCATTTCTGAAGTGTTGTAAATATTTTATTGTCATCAGATGCGTAAAATTTTGGAGGGATATGTTGTGTATCTTTATACGTATATGCTTCTAAACTGTTGCATTCTGAGCACCTGTGCAAAAACAGTGATAATGTGTGAGTGTGGTGAAAGTGTTGAATGATGATGAAAGTATTTTCTTTTTGGGGATTTTCTTTCTTTTTTGGGTCACACTGCCTCGGTGGGAGACGGCCGACTTGTTGAAAAAAAAATAATATATATGTATATATATATATAAATATATATATATATATATATATAATATATATATATATATATATATATATATATATATATATATATATATATATATATATATATATATATATATATGCGAACTATGAAAACGTAATAAATGATTATAATAATCCACTTTTTTTTAGGAGATTCGAACTGATGGCGAGTCAAATGTTCTAGCAACCGCACCATCCCACCTTAACAAGATAATTTACGAACCCGCCACAAACTTGCAAAGGTCACTACTGCCACCCAACTGCTGTTTTTTTACAGCAACTAACTCACAGTAGTGCAGCATGAGATAAAATCTAGTTATTGTTTCCATTTATCATATGCGAGCTATAAACACATATTTAACGCTTATAAGAACACAAGGTGCCTCAGCACAGACCTGTTCTCTCCTTATTTTTAGTATCTGTCGAAGATATAAGTTGGAGGGCAAAATACACAGATAACCATTATTCCTTGGTTTTTGTGTCTGTGGGATTTTCTCCTACTGACAAGCGTTATTTACACTATATATGTATATATTGACATTACTTGATTTAATTAAATAATTATTTATAGAAAGATAGAAAAAGAAAGCTTTCATTGTAGCCTATCCTTCAGTGTTTTATTCTCTTACGCATCACGTATCTTGTAATTTCCAAGATCCATTAATATAGTCTTGGGAAAATAACTACAATTAATAATTTTTATCGACATTTTAAAACAGTGATACAGAGCCGGAAACATGTCCACTTAAAATAATCCTATGGTACAATAAATAAAACTGAAAAAATACGTTTGTACATAAAATATCTTTCAGGATGCAGAACGAAAGGGAGAATAAGAGACATTTCGTATTTTTCAAGGGTATACACAGATATGATTTCTTGTGAATATATACATAATATATGCACAAATGTAACTGGTACTTCGTGTGGTGGAGCTTATCGGTAGGTGAAAGTCTCTTTCTAAATAATTTTTATCTAGTGTATTAGTTTTTCAAAGCCTGACTGAATGAAATATTACGTATATAGTCATAATTTTAGAAAGTCACTCTTACACTTGATGTTTCAAGTATACTCAGCAGTGCAGTCCTTCAGTTTAGTTATATGTGATCTTATAATGACAAATCAATTCGTTTGCAGATATAACTCATCTGTTAATGTGATGTTAATCACATTCATAACAGTCTAGTATTACTTTTTTCAGCTGTAAATTATAACAAAAAAAAAAACAGCAGGTACCTGTTGATGCTCTTTAATAGTTCTACTGTGAATTTTCAGTCGCGCATGATGTACTGTTACTAGGATAAACGTCGCCTCTATGTGGATTACACATCGAACCAGTCGTTGCCAGTCTCTAGTTATCTTTAAATAACACTGTTTCACTTTTGAGTCTGATCCAATCTTTATCAATTTTGTTAATTTGTATATAACACAGGCAATATCAAATGACATGTACAAAAAATTGTATATAATAATTC